CGCCACGAGCAGAGCCCGCCACGCCGGTGCCCGGGAGTGCCGGCCGCCGAGGTGTCCCCTTGCCGGGCGAGGACGTCGCGGCCTGACCCTCCTATGATTTCTCTGGCACAGACCTGCGGCCCCTGGACATCCTGGCGGAGGTGGTCCCTCCCCGCGGCGCCCCGAGCGGCATCAGGACGGCGCAGGCCCACGGCGTGCGGGGGCTCCAGCTCTCGGCAGCCGCGCCCCAGGCCGCGAGCTTCCCCGCCTCCCGGATCTTCTCCCGCTGCGACCTCTTCCCTCAAGAGTTTTCCATCGTTGTGACCTTGAAGGTCCCCAGTCTTCCACCCAAGGTCAGTGCGCTCTTTGCTCTCCGTGCTAGGAGAGCCCGGTGTTCCCTCTCGGGGCTCCCAACTCCAGCGCGGCGATGGGCGAAAGGGGTGCGGGTTGCGGGGGCCTTCGTCACGGGCCCCTGGGCTCTCCTCGGGCTCCAGAGCGCCCGCCTTGCTCGTGGCGCGGGTTTCCTCCCAGGCAGCGCGGCCGGTCTGCGCGGCCCCTTGCCGGGCGTGAGCTGCTGACCCCTGCGATTTCAGGTGCAGGCCTCGGCGTTTTGTCCCCACATCCTTTGGCAGGAATTGCTAGCCATGAAATCACATAGAAACGTGCCCGTTTTGGGCCCGTTTACCCATCATTTGCAGTCTGACCAATCCCTGATCTAATTAACGTGCCCGTTCTAGTCTGCAAGGTGGGGACCGGCCGTGTTTTCCCCTGTCGCCATGGTTTCCGGAACAATGCACATCACGCGTGTGCAGCGGTCCCTCTGAATCGGATTCAAATGAGTTTGCGTTTCCAGCTCAGCATGGCCAGGGAAGAGAGGAGTCACCCCCTTCCTGCGGGGGCGGCTCCGCTGTGGGTTTGTTCCCTGGAGGGAGACGTGGCGGGCGCCTCCCGCGGACCTGCCCAGGTTCACAGACCCTCTCCCCCCGCTCCTCCGAATCTGCGGTCAGACCCCGCTGCTGAGTTTCAGTCCCAGCGTGTCCAAGTTCTACAATTCCCATTTTATTCTTTTTCGTATAGACTCCACTTTCCAGGTCAAACTCTCCCCTGTTATTCCCGGAGCACGGCTCCGGCGTTTGGCTCCGACGCCTCCGCTGTGTAGACAGCTCCAGCGTGTGAGCCCTGCCGTCCGCCTCCCGGGTTTTTCCCCGGTCTGCGCTCCCCGTACACGGAATTGTGCAGCATGCGGTCCTCTGTCGCTGGCTGCTTCTGCTTAGCACGCGTTCCCAGCATGTACGTGCATGTATGTCGCGTGTAGCAGCGCCTCATTCCTGTTTGCGGGCGAATAATATTCCGTGACGTGGACATTCCACATTTTGATTGTCCGTGCATCCGTGACAGACATTTGGGTTGTGTCCACTTTTTGGCTGTTACGAATAATGCCGCCATAGACGTTCATGGGCACGTTTTTATGTGGACACGTGTTTTCATTTCTCGTGAGTGCATGCTTATGAGTGGAATTCCCGGGTTGCATGGTTAACTTTTTGAGGGGCTGCCGGGCTGTGTTCCAAGGCAGCCGCCCCATCCTGTACCCCGTCAGCAGGGTGTGGGGGTGTGAATTCTCCGCACCCTTGCCAACACTTGCTGTCCGGCTCTTTGATTCGAGCCATCCTCACAAGCAGCGTCTAATCACGGTTTTGAGTTGTGTTTCCCTGATGAATAATGATGTCGGATGTTTTTCACATGCATATTGGCCATTTGTGGATCTTCTTTGGAGAAATGTCTACTAAAATCCTTTGCCAGTTTTCACTGGGCTAATTGCCCTTTCTTTGCTTAGTGGTAAAAAGTTCTTTATGTGTTTGGTAAAAGTCCTTTGTCAGATATGTGACTTGCAAATATTTGCTGCCACTCTGAGGATTGTCTTTCTACTTTCTTGATAGAATCCTTTGAAGAATAAAACTTTTTTAATTTTGATGATGATCAATTTATCTATTATTTCTTTCATGCTTTATATTTTTGGTGTCACATCTAAGAATCCATTGCCAAATCTGTGGTTAAGAATTACCACATGTTTTCTTCTAAGAGTTTTATTGTCTTAGCCCTTACATTTAAGTCTTCGATTTATTTGAGTTAATTTTTGTATATGGTGTGAGGTAGGGGGTTCAAATTTATTCTTTTGCACGTAGGGTATCTAGTTGTCCCTGCACCATTTGTTAAAGAGATTATTTTTTTTCCATTGAGCGGTCTTGGCACCCTTGTTGGAAATCAGTTGACCATAGATATATGGGTTTATTTCTGGACTCTCAATTTATTCCACTGATCTATTTGCCAACTTCTACAGAGAAGTTAGCTTGGGCTCTGATAGGGATTGGGTAAATTTGTAGATTTACCCAATCATTTTTATTGTCTATTTAATGCTGCATTTTTGTGGGTCTTTTGTGTTTTTAATTTTTGGGGATTTTTCTGTCTAAAGTGGGACTTAGGCACAGTGACAAAGTGCTACCTAGTGTTCCCAAGTGCAGAAAAGCCGTGATGTGCCTCATGGAGAAAATATGTATGTTCGGGAAGCTTTGCTCAGGTACAAGTCGTGGTGCTGTTGGCTTAGTTCAATGTTAATGAATAAACAATAAATATTAAACACACATAAAACGAGACTATGTATTGAGCAGTTGAAAACAGTGACCAGAGGCTCACAGGAACAATCTGTTTTTCTCTCAGGAGCAATGACACAGTTGGGCTAATCATTATTTACAGTGACTTTGTATAATGTAATGAATGTTGTCCACTAGTGAGAATCATTTGTGGCTGGTTGTGCATCCACTATTTTATTTCTTGTGTCTTGTATGTCTCGTGATTATTTTGGCCATTGCTCCTCTATTCTGCCTTTACTGCTTTCTTTTGCACAGTGAGTATTCTCTAATGTGACATTTCGATTTCTTTAGCATTTTTTCGCCATACCTCTTTAGCTTTTCCTTCATGCTTGCTCTGGGGCTTACCACGTACTTATTCCCACTGATCAGAATCCAATCCCGATCTATACTAATGCAGTTCTGGTGAGATCTAAAAAGGTTGCTCCTCTATATAACTCTGTTGCTTTTTCCCCCCTTTTTGTGGTTTTATTCCTATATACATATTACATCTACAGATGTCAAAAAAAGCCCAGCAATACATTGTTATAATTATTACTTTCTATAATTTTATGACTTTTAGGGAAGTGGAGAGAAGAAAGGAGAACAAGTACACGATCATAGTTTTTGTCGTATTATCCTTGCTTTTCTCGTTTCTGATTCTCTCTGTTCTTTCCCGTGGGTTCGGGCTGCCGTCTGCACTGATTCCTTTGCCCAGCTCGGCTTTGCCTCCGTGCTCTGCCCTGCACGCTGCTGCCGGATGTGCCGCGGGGCCCGTGTGCCGCGGGCTCAGCGACGCCTTAGGTGTGTCTCTGTGCAACTTCTCCAGGCAGTTAGGAGAAGAAAGGAGAAAATATGTGTCCGTACTGCCTTTTATGATTCCGTAATCGCCTTGACTACTGTTTCGCTTTGTCCGAGTGCATTTGGATTCCCGCCTAGGGTCCCTTGCCTTCAGTGGTAAGAACTCCTGTCGGTATGCCTCCTACGATGAGCCTGCTGGGACAGACTCCTCCAGCTTTTCTTTGAGAATGTCTTTATTTTGCCATCATACCTGCAATACAGCTCTGTTGGATATAGGGTTCTTGGCTGACAATTTTTTTCCTTTGGGGACTTTGGATACATCCTCCCACTGCCCTCTGGCCTTTGCCATTTCTGGCAAAAAAGTCGGCCGTTAATCTCAGTGGTCCCTGTTAAGAGTCCTCCTGTTTCTCTTGCTGCTTTCAAGGTTTTCTCCTTGTTTCTGACTTTCGGCATTTTTACTATGGTATGTCGATTCGCGGAACTTTTGTGTGTATTCCACTTGGAGTTTGCTGAGCTTGCTTCCTGGATGCGTACATTACTGTCTTTCAGTGAATTGGGGAAGTCTTCAGTCATTATGAAATAATATTTTTCCGTTGTGGCCTGACTTTGCCAGGTGGTCACCCGTCAGAGGTCAATGAGGCTTCACGCCCTGCAGCCCACTGGCCTTAAAAGCGCTCGGGGGAGCCCTGGCCTGACTTTGGGGATCCCTGCAGCCCAGGGTATCACCATGGCCCCTGCCCTCACCCTATCAGAGACTAGACAGAACACAGCGACCGCAGAATGAGGAGGTACAGGGTCCATGATCAGAGCTTTGCATGCTCACCAGGACACAGGTGTGGTGCCAGGCACTGGGGGACAGGCCACTGCACACAGCTGTGCAGGTGTCTGCATGACAAGGCTCCTTGTGCACCCAGCCCTTGTCACTTGCATGTTTGCTGTGACAATGTCCAGGAGACAACAGCAGAGCTACCACATTCCGGTAACTTTGTTGCCCGTAGAAGGGGACGTTCTTGAGGGAGAAGACCTCGTTGTGTTTGCTCACGGGGCTGCGGGAGCTCCCGAGGACCCAGCTGTGGGGAGGCTGTCTGGGCCACCAGGAGAGGACAATGTGTGAGCCCCGAGCACACTGCTGGGGGCGGGTTCTGTAACAGTCTCCTGAAATGGAACAAAGGAATTTGCCCCTCACGGTCACCCCTGCTATGCTAGGCCAGCGTCGGCCTCCCTACCCTTCCATGGGAGCCGACCTCTGCAGGAAGACACTATTTATCCCCTCTGGGACACCTGTCCCAGGGTCACCCACAGCAGGAATGTGCCCCGGTTCCCGCCGACAATGGGCAGCATCAACCCAGCAAGATGGTCCTGCCACGTGGCCAGGCCAGCGGGCCGTCGTGGGATCTGCCCACAGTGGACACCCCTCGCCCTTCCCTCACAGCCCCGAGTTGGGCTCATCCCTCTGCTGTCCCTCCCGGGGGCAGGTGTCCGTGTGTAGAGGTGGACCCCTCCAGGATGGGGCAGGAACGTGTCCTGGCTGCCACTGTCCCTGCACCTGGAGTGTGTTTTGATGCAATCCAAACATTTCTACTGGTTGACCTCTGGGGGCAGACACGGGTCAGGACGGCCCCAGCCCCAGCGCTGCTGACAGGACACATGACCCAAGCAGGAATAAGGAAAGGGGAGGCTTCGCTTTCCTTTTTCCGTCCCACTGCTGGGACAGCACAAACAACCCGGAGGGGTATAAAACCCCGACTGCCCAGAGCTCCCCACTCACCCACACGCTCAACCCACACTCACCCCACACTCACCCACTCACACGCTCCCAGCTCAGCCCCAGCATGGCCGCGTCCGCCGTATCCGTCTGCTCCAGCGACCTGAGCTACGGCAGCCGCGTCTGCCTGCCCGGTTCCTGCGACTCCTGCCCCGACTCCTGGCAGGGGGACGACTGCCCAGAGAGCTGCTGCGAGCCCCCCTGCTGCGCCCCCAGCTGCTGCGCCCCGGCCGCCTGCCTGAGCCTGGTCTGCAGCCCCGTGAGCTGCGTGTGCAGCCCCTGCCAGTCCGTCTGCACCAGCGCCTGCACGCCCTCGTGCTGCCCGCAGTCCAGCTGCCAGCCGGCTTGCTGCACCCCGTCCCCCTGCCAGCCGTCCTGCTGTGTGCCCGTGTGCTGCAAGCCCGTGTGCTGTGTGCCCGTGTGCTCCAAGCCCGTGTGCTGTGAGCCTGTCTGCACTGGGGCCTCCTCTTCGTGCTGCCAGCAGTCTAGCTGCCAGCCGGCTTGCTGCACCCCGTCCCCCTGCCAGCCGTCCTGCTGTGTGCCCGTGTGCTGCAAGCCCGTGTGCTGTGAGCCCGTGTGCTCTGGGGCCTCCTCATCATGCTGCCAGCAGTCTAGCTGCCAGCCGGCTTGCTGCACCCCGTCCCCTTGCCAGCCGTCCTGCTGTGTTTCCGTGTGCTGCAAGCCCGTGTGCTGTGTGCCCGTGTGCTCTGGGGCCTCCTCTTCGTGCTGCCAGCAGTCTAGCTGCCAGCTGGCTTGCTGCACCCCGTCCCCCTGCCAGCCATCCTGCTGTGTGCCCGTGTGCTGCAAGCCCGTGTGCTGTGAGCCCGTGTGCTCTGGGGCCTCCTCTTCGTGCTGCCAGCAGTCTAGCTGCCAGCCGGCTTGCTGCACCTCCTCCCCCTGCCAGCCGTCCTGCTGTGTGCCCGTGTGCTGCAAGCCCGTGTGCTGTGAGCCCGTGTGCTGCAAACCTGTGTGTTCCAAGCCCGTCTGCTGTGAGCCCGTGTGCTCTGGGGCTTCCTCTTCATGCTGCCAGCAGTCTAGCTGCCAGCCGGCTTGCTGCACCTCCTCCCCCTGCCCCTCCCCCTGCTGCAGACCCTCCTCCTGCGTGTCCCTCCTCTGCCGCCCCGTGTGCAGACCTGCCTGCTGTGCCCCCACCTCCTCCTGCCAGCCCAGCTGCTGCCGCCCGGCCTCCTGCGTGTCCCTCCTCTGCCGCCCGGCCTGTCCCCGCCCGGCCTCCTGCGTGTCCCTCCTCTGCCGCCCCTCCTGTCCCCGCCCGGCCTCCTGCGTGTCCCTCCTCTGCCGCCCCGCCTGTCCCCGCCCGGCCTGCTGTGGCCTCTCCTCAGGCCAGGGGGCCAGCTGCTGATGGGCACGTCCCATTTCTGTAGGGCTGTTCCAGGGCCAAGTCTGATGCCCACCTGAGATCCTTGGAGCCCCGAGCCCATTCTGGGTGTTCCCTGCCACGGAGCAGCCCTACCACAGCCATCCGTACTCCGTGGTCCCTCCGGGCTGTGCGTTTGTCCTGGCAGCCTCCTCTCCATCCCGGTTGGCTGGTGGTTGCTTTGTCCTACCCTGTGTGAGTGACCAGTCTTTCAACAAATAAAGTCACCATTGTGCCTTCTCAGAAGCCTCATTTGCATATCAGTGCAAGCACGGGAGAAGAGCTTCGAGGTGCCCCCCCTTGGTGGGGGGCACTTTAGGACGCCGGCCTTGAGCTGGTCCAAGGCGACCGCACCACGGGGCAGGGCCAGCTGTGACCTCCCCTGTGCCAGGGCAGCTCTCCTGCTGTGGTCACCTGCCAGCCTCAGTGGGGACACTGCCCACCTGGAGGACTATGGGGTGTCCCGGTCCTGGGCGTGGTGCTCTGTGCTTCCTGTCCCTCCCCCTGGGGCCTGGGGTGAGCTGCCCGGGTGACCCCCCCTTGACCTCTCAGCACCCTCCAGCCAACCTCACCCCGGACCCCTGCCGCTCCCTTTCCCAACCCGGCTGACCTCGCCTCCCATCTTCCGACCAGCTCTCTCATTCAATAAACTAAATCTTTCTTGTTCCTACGAGATTTTTCTTTATTTAATTTAATTAATTAAATTATTTTTATTTTTATTTTTTTGCCAACTTTTAGGCGATCTAACCTGGGAGATGATTTAAACCTAATCCTTTATCCATTGAACGTCTATGCGTTCTTTGCAACCTATGTATGGTACTTTCAATATCCCAAGTCTCTGTTGGTTCTGTTTCGGTTTTCTGTAATTTCTGCCCGTCCTTACTCACAGTGTCTCACTCCCTTGTGTACGTAGCTATTTTTGGCTGAGTAATAGCTCTTGACCTTGTCCTCGTCCTTGAAAAGTATTTGCGGGCCTTTTAGAGGCCTCGGGCGAAGGTGCGTTTGCTTTGCCTGGTGAGAGGCGCTCTCGGCTTGCGGGAACAGTCGGCTACATTCCCGGCTCACGTTCTGTGCGCCTCGCAGAAGATGCACGTTTGGGCTGCAGAAGGAGGCAGCTTGAGGGGCGGAGGACAGTTTTCCCCAGGTGTGCGGGGTCCCGAGGCCACACCCGGACTCCGGGTGGCAGAAGCCCGGGTGTCCTTCCGATGCCAGGTGACCACCTGTCCCCACTGGGAGGGACACTGTAAGGGACACGGTTTCCCCAAATCCACGGAGTCCTGGGCCAGGCGGGCATGTGGGGTGTGGGCCCCCCTAGTTTGTACCAGTCGCCCCCGGTGGGAAGCCGGGAAGGCAGTTGTGCATGTACCCCCGAAGCCCCTGACCCGGGGGCACCTCTCCCACTTCCCTTCACTGTGTGTGTGTAACTGTGACACCAGCTGCCTGCTTTTTGGTTTTTATTTAGAACCATCTTGAGAAATTGTCTCATCTGGCTGGGCACAGTGGCTCACGCCTATAATCCTAGCACTCTGGGAGGCCGAGTGGGGAGGATCGCTCAAGGTCAGGAGTTTGAAACCAGCCTGAGCAAGAGCGAGACCCCGTCTCTACTAAAAATAGAAAGAAATTAGCTGGACAACTAAAAACAGAAAAAACGAGCTGGGCATGGTGGCGCATGCCTGTAGTCCCAGCTACTTGGGAGGCTGAGGCAGGAGGATCGCTTGTGCCCAGGAGCCTGAGGTTGCTGTGAGCTAGGCTGACGCCACGGCACTCTAGCCTGGGCAGCAGAGTGAGACTCTGTCTCAAAAAGAGAGAGAGAGAGAGAGAGAAATCGTTTCATCTAATGAGAAGAATTACATGAAATTTGCTTTATAACCGACCCTTACTCATTCTGCCGCTCTGATTAAGCTCTCAGCTTTATAGGTTTTCTTCTTGTTTCTGAAGGGTTTATTTTCCTTTCTACTTTTTCTGCTGTTTTGGAAGATATATATTCTGTTTTTAATTGTACTAATAAATAGCTTTTAAGTTTACTTTTATTTTTATTTTGTAATTATTAAGGTGAAGAATGACACAGTATAATTTGAGGAACTGACTTTGCTTCCCCGACATCTACCCCCTTGCACCCCCACCCACCAGTCACTGGTCTTTCCTAAGCAACCTGAAACAGCGCTGTCCAGTGCAAATATAGCCCCGTGTGCCGTTGTGAACATTAGAATAGCCACATTTAAAAATGTGAAAAGAGACAGGTGACGTTAACTTATTGACGTATTTAATTTAACCAGATGGATCCAAACTGTCACCGTTTCAAGGTGTGGCCCCGGCTGCATTTCCAGTGCCCAGGAGCCGCGTGTGGTTCGTGGTCTCAGCACGCCATGGAGTGTTAGAATCTCATCCTTGTTATTCGGCAAGAAGGTGTCACACGATGCGTGGTTACCGCAGACGTGAAATCTGCGTCTGTGTCTATGACCAAGCACATTCGTCGTTCAGACGTAGGTCGGGCTCTCTGCCCTCGAACCCGAGCTGGCCGTGGCGGCCCTGCCCCTGTGCTCCTGAGGTCCCGTGTTTGCCCCGTTCACGGGGCTCCACCCTCCAGACCAGTCGCCTCCCAGCGGCCCCGATGTCAACACCGCCGCGCTGGGACCAGGGTCTCAGCACTTGCTTTTGGGGGGCACACAGAGGTTCCATCCAGAACAGTCACTCAGTCGTCGGTTGCATTTCTGTAAGTGTGACTCTCAGGAGCGTGCCTGCGTGGAGCACTCCCTGAGCTCCTGCTTGTGTGAAAATACGTTGCTGTTGTCCTTATTTGAGGACGATGTAATAATTTGAAAAAAAAAAAAAAACAAGAAAAAAATCACCCTGGGTCCCCCGAAGCTTCCCTGGCAGCCTGTGGCTGTCCTGCCGCCTGGCTCAGGCGAGTGGGCGAGGGACGGTCGGTCACTGTGGGTCCCTCTCCAGGCAGCTTGTCATTTCTTCTCCCATGGCAGGAGGGCGGCTCTTCAGTGTCCCAGCGTTAAAACTCGCCAGCACGTCGTGTCTAGGCCGAGCCCTAAAGCCCGGCTCCTCTTACAATCCGTTAAGTCCCTCCGTCCAGGCACTCTGTGTGTGCACTCGGCCAGAGCAGCGGCCCCGTCCCTCTCCGCACCACTCCGGGCCCAGCTGCGTCCTCCCTCCCTAGCAGCTCAGCCGTCGTGCTGGTCTCAGCTAGACACGCGCCTGTCTGTCACCTTGTCTCTCTCCTGCCGTGAGCTCCACCCTTCACCTCTGTGTCTGGGGTCAGACCGTGAGCCGGTGCTCTGCGGCGTTCCCTCTGCTCTTCCGCCCCCCGCGTGAGTGCCCAGCACGGCGGCGGCTGAGGGTGCGGGTCCCCTGCTCGGGCCGGCGTCCTGGCCCGGCCCTGCCGCTTCTGGCTGTGTGACCTCGGGCGGGTTGTCTGACCTTTCTGGGCCAAGGTGTCCTTACCCCCAGGACTTTGTCACGGAGTTTTGTGGAAACTAAGCGAGTTAGTGGATGCGGAGGGCTCCGGACAGCGCCTGGCGTGGACACTGCTCAGTAGATGCCATCAGACGTCACCAGCTTTGTCGTCACCTCTGTTACACGGGCTATTTTCTAAGGTCCCCGAAGCTGTCACTGGAGTCACCTGGAAGCCCCTGTCCAGCTCATGGTGTTGCTCTGCCATCCGGCCACCCCCAGGCCCTGCGGGGTGCAGCTGTGCTCACTGGCCACGTCCCCTGGGCACCACCTGGGCTCCGGCCAGAGCCCCCACTGTGGGGAGAAGCAGCTCCTTCCGGGCCTGGGTGGGCTGTCTGGGGAGGCAGGGCCGCGGCTGTACTCCGCGGGGAGGTGGGAGACGGGGGGTGGGGGTGGGAGACGGGGGTGGGGGTGGGAGACGGGGGGTGGGGGACACGGCAGCAGCTGGCCCAGCGCCCGGGAGCTCTCCGCTCCGGAAGGTTTGGGCGTCCTGGGCTCCGGCACTCAGGGACGCTCAGTGACACCTCTGCTCCTGCACGGGCGCCACTGGGACCCACAGAGAGAACCGAGTCTCGGCCTCCAGAGCTCCCGCCTGCTGGGCGGGGAAGGGAAGGTTGCCATGGTCACGGTGGACGAGGCCCGGGACAGCGTGAGAACCTGTGCAGACCAGAGGGCGGGAGAAACGGGGGACCACATGTGTCCAGGGCTTCCCTGTCACATGTGGCTTCCCGCAGGACTGAGCAGACCCGAGAATTGCAACCGCAGAGCAAAGGAACACTGGTGGGTGTGACGGCCACCATGTCGCCCGAGGGAGGTCCTGGCTCTTTATTCTCAATACTAGATAATGGACACGTATGGGGAACATTTTTTTTTTTTTTTGCGAATATGGCAAAGAAGAACACGTCACCCACGGGTCCCATCTGCGAGGTGCGCACGCAAGAGTGCACGCACGCCGCCGTGGGCTCCCGCCACCTCGGGGGGTGGGCGTTAAGGCTTTTCCCGTGTCTCTATATTGGCAAACAACCCCACCGCGAGTCCCGACCCTCCAAGTGGTGTGGGACCTGTGGCCTGGGGGCCATGTGCTCCTGGAGTGCTGCAGTGCAGGCCTGGGACTGAACCCGGATTTCGCAGAACAAACAGCAAGCAATAGTAGTGAGAAGTGTCCGGTGTCGCTGAATCCTAGGCAGTGGGGCTCCCGGGCCGAGTGGCAGCGCATGTTAAACTCGTCCAGAGCTGAGCGGTGCCCCACAAGGGACTATTTCCCGTTGTGCCAGCTGGCGGTGAGGCCCAGGAGACGGTGGCGAGAACGGAAAGGCGGCCTTCTGCAGAAACGCCAAAGCACTGCCGGAGCATGACCCTGCAGCATCGACTTCAGCGAACTCTGGAAAGGAAAAGGTCGTCAGCCCGCCCGCCCTGCTGGACATCCGAGGTCGCAGAGGCAGACGGGACCTTTTCCCGAGGAACGGTGGCTTCGTTGTCCCGGAGACCACCAGGAGCAGCGGCGCTTGGCTCAGCAGCAAGAG